AAATTGTAGTTGCACCTAGCCATGCATAGGTAATAACTTCAATAATTTTTGCATTAACAATTTCTTTATGATCATCTAGTCCAAATATTTTTTTCTCCATTTGTATTGGAAGAAATGACTTTGATGGCTTTAGTTTTAGGTATGAAGAAAGGTAGTTGCACCATTCAGGAAGATTGAGATGAAACAATTTACAATGAGTGTGTTGAATGGTTATTTTTCCTTGACATTTCTTCTTAGGTGCGACACATTCATTTGTATTATTCATCCTTTTCTTTTTAGATTGAGTGAAATCCTAAAACATCATCAATTAAACAAGTTAGGTAATAAATAAAATATGTTCATAAATATGAATAAATATAGTTGTATAAACATACCTCATCAACAACTTGTATGAGATTGATTAGCCATGCCACGAATGTACCTATTGTTTGTCCTATTGTCATCATGTTATTTTCAACAATAGGTATGTTATTTTCAACAATAGGTATGTTATTTTCAACAATAGGTATGGGCAAGGATACATTTGGTTCCAAAGCAATATCTATACTCACTTTTACATGTCCTTTAGGTAGAGGTCTACCATGTAGTGTATCACTTTTAAAATTATGCAATTTTCCATGGGCAACCAAGCAAAGTGATGGTGATGATACAAACAATTTACAACTTGAGACCCCCTACATTATAAAATATAATTATAAGATAAATTATTTAAAGTGGCCAAATGTAGAGAGCTTTTAAAGTAAACAAATTACACTAACATTACTTCTAATATAGAAAATAAAATTATAAGACAATCTCCAATGTGACTAAATATGAAGACCTACGAAAGTTTAAAGTAAGCAAATTAAAGTAATAATGAAAGTAACGTAGATAAGTTAGTTACCTCGAAAAAGCTATTTGATGACCGTGTGCAACTCCCTTGGCTACTATTGACACCAATATCAGCTTCTTCAATAGTATTTGGTGTGTTAATTTTTCGAAGTGAAATAATCTCATTTTCCATTCGTGTCATTCTTTCATTGATGTCTTTCAGTTGAGCAATCAATTTATCATGCTCATGGTGTGTATAACGCTTTCTGGACGGGAAATAATCTGTGACCAACTCCAAATCTCATTCCCCTAACACGATTATACAATGGTGTCTTTGCATTTGTTGTCAACTTATCAAACATTTGAGGACAGTCTCGCATATCCTCTTCGATAACGTTTGCAATCTCCTTAACTTCATCTAACTTATATTTTGTTTTAGTCTCTTTCAGCGTATAACTTGTATTATCACGAAAATCATTATCTATATGATTTTTTCTAATTTCACCATGTTTGATCCAGCATGACTAACTTTTATCAATTCCATTGCATATTAAATGTTCTTCGAACTCATTTGCGTTCATTACCCTTGAATAACAACACTTCAAGCAAGGACAAATGATTTTACCAGGGTTTTTTGCATGTTCAACTGCAAATCTACAAAACTCTTTCACTCCATCCTCGTATTCTTTTGATAATCGACTAGCAAAAATCCATTTTCGATCCATATTTTCATAATCTATCAAGATTAGTTAATATAGTATTAGCTATATATAGAAACTAACACTATTTACAATAATAAACTATAAAAAATATTCATCTCACCTCAACTTTGAACACA